GGGTGGACGGGTGGATGGGTGGGTGGATGGATGCGATGGAGGGAGGGAGGGAGGGATTGGTTGATTGATTGATTGATTGATTGATTAGAGCTTTGACCTTATGTCATCCATGTGTCATGTGCAAAGAAACATCAACAACCTCAACAGGAGAAAAAGAAGCAGCGGGACAAGGAATGTGTTGGTTTAGGCCACTGCCCACATAACGGATGGGAATGAGTTGCATCTGGACGTGATCTTACCAGCCTCGCTAGGACATGGTCGTACATGTACAGGATTCCCAACTTATGAACCGGCCTTGTGCAATACACAGGAGCTTTCAGATCGAGCTTTCCGTACGCATATGGAAGAGCACCAAGATGCGCTGTATCTGGATGAGATATAAGAACGGCATCTATATCCTTCACCACACTGAACATACATTTTCGAAAATACAACGAAAATTCCAAAACATCCCAGCCAACACCCGGCCCAACGACACACACAGGAATAGTCATCATTTGCTGAAAGCACGGTGGGACAGCCATAAACAACGCCAAACCACCGTCAACTGATTTTTTCGTATTTAAGTTTTTGAAAAATCATTATGTCCTGTGTAAAATAACGACTATTTTTCTGTTTTTCGTGTTTTTTGTTTTCGAGTACACAAATCAGATTCATGCAAGCTAACGCAAAGAGAGAGAAAGGGAGAGAAAGGGAGAGAAAGGGAGAGAAAGGGAGAGAGGGAGAGGCGAAAGGGGGGGGGGGGGGGGGGGGGGGGGGGGGGGGGGGGGGGGGGGGGGGGTTTGAAGGCATGCAGTACATAATCATGCTCGAAATCTCACAGAGCTTGTCCTATGTAGGCTACGGTTTAAAGATTTCTCAGGACATACACACGCAAGGATTTTTTTCACCTGAGCTTTGGACGTGATTACGGTCAAATGCATCCAGGTATAGCCGTAATTGCAGTCACATACATTTAGGAAAGTGCTAGTGTGAAAAGACCTCAGTTCAGGATCTGAACGGTCGCCTGTGATAGATCAGTCGGCACAAAACTAGTGCTCGAGTCTCGTCGGGACAAAATAATGACCCTCTGTGATGATGGTGGCTCATGATAGATCTGATTACGGGGTGTTATTTGAGCAATGAAATAACTGCGCTGACGTGGAGCCTTAATTAACCTCTCAGGACACGTGGCAGTCGCATCTATTTCCCTTTGCCTTCTTGCGGGGGGGGTTAATGCCCTTCTAGTGAGGGGTTTAGGCCCCTCCTAGTGAGGGGTTTAGGGCCTTTCAAGTGAGGGGTTTAGGCCCCTCCTAATGAGGGGTTTAGGGCCTTTCAAGTGAGGGGTTTAGGGCCCTTTTAGTGCCGGGTTTAGGTCCTTCTACTGACGGATTTAGGCCCTTTTAGGGAAGGGTTTACGGCCCTTTTTGGGTCATCACGGGGTGTGCTAATTGTGAAGGATGCGGGAGTGATTAGCGCTATTGCAGACGTACTTTTTTATTTTTCACAGTGAAATTCTTCAAATGATTTGTCTCACACCCCCTCCAAATCCCTTTGGCCCCCTTAAACCCCTTTAAACCCCTTCCAAAACCGCCAGGCCCCCCCCCATTGCCCCGGAAAAAAAAAAAAAAAAAAAAAACAATTTCGGATGAATAAAATGCTTCCAGGCTCCATCGAACATTCCTGAAACCGACGGGCTACTCTCTGACTGCTCAAAGCAACCTTGCCCTCAAGCCTC